CATTTGCTGCAAAGGAGCGACGCCAAGAATGTGGTTATCATCGTGACTCGCTGGCACGGTGGAATACATCTGGGGAATGATAGATTCAAACACATCAATAAGTGTGCAGTAGATCTTCTTCAGTCAGTGGGAAAGATCAAGAGCAAAGGCTGTGGTGCTCCTAAATCCAGGGTTGGTACAGCAAAAGTAAAAAGAAAGAGCAAGGCCTAAATCAGTAGCTGACGTTAAATCTTACTGCTTTACCTAACAGGACGTTCAGGCATTTATATAAAAACATTTATATAAAAACAGAATAGAATCAGGTTTGCTGCACTAAAGTGGGGTGGTACGGTAGTACATACAATTTTTCTCAGTATAAGCGTGTTTAAGTCTAGGAAACTAGCTGGAAAGTGCTTTCGATGTCATAGTTAACACATGCTCAAAATAATTGGATGTTACTAAAACAGGAAACGGGGAATGTTCAAAATAATTGCTTGATATTACCCTAGCATGTAGACAGTAAACTAAGAACCAAAGATTAAAATGTAGGTTTTTATCTTATTTTTTCCAGTTGTATTTAGGGACAAAAAGGAATGCAATTTTTTTCGGATTGGTTGATTTGTTAGTTATCGCATTTCAAATTCATGCCAACCTCATAGTCTTGTCAAGGAAAGCAGTTTCGAGCCTCCTTAAATCAGTGGTAGGGTAATGACGTCAGTGAAAGAATGCTTATCACAAAACTTAAGGTTTTTGTTTTACAATATACACTATTTGAAACGATTTGAGTCGTGGGCAATACCATACATGTATTCATCTTTAAAAAGTAGGCAATAGTTAATGGTTATAGTAAGACTAGTAATGATTGCATAGCTATAGTATAATAATTAATAATAATAATTTAATGAATTTGCATAGCGCAAATCTCAATTGGGATATTTTTATTTGCGCTGTRACRTAAATGTAAAAAATATATAAAAAACTAAAACTATACTAATRTTAAAATATAGGATTAAAAACAATAGTATAAAATTATTAGCGATATAAACGATAACTAAAAATCTGCGAAAGCCATCTTATATAAAAAGGTTTTCAATGATTTCTTAAAATTAGTCACAGTTGGAGCTGTCCTGACCTCCAAAGGTAGCCTGTTTCATAAATTAGGTGCAGCTACCATAAATGCTCGATTTCCTAATGTCTTATATGTTATAAGATTAACATGTTCAAGTAATATTCTATTGCTATTTGAACATAAACTATATCTACTCTCTTTTTTAATGTTAATAAGGTATTATAAGGTATAATAGAATCCATATTAGTGACAACCTAGCTGTATAAAGTTGTAGAGTTACTTTTATAGTAAATCGGATAGTTTGAATGTAAATAATGTAAATAATGCAAGGTTAGAATGCTCCAGTTTCGAGTTCTCAGCTGCTCAGAGTTAGCCTCGACTTTGTGAAGAATATTCTTGTGTTCCAGTGAAGGTCCATCGAGTTTCAAAGTGTTTGTATTGTTGAAGTTGTGCATTCTTTACTTTAACGTTGGTTTTGGTGAATGTTTATACATTGATACTGAGTTTGTAATCAAGAAGCACAGAGTAACAACTCAAAACGAAACAAAAAATATCGAAGGATCCTTACTTTAATACTTGCTCTTTTCCAAATAGGAGGTTCGTACGTAGTTGTCACTTAAGGGGTACGATTACAGTAATGAGGTGAAGTTTGATCATCTGTCGATTCAGTGTCGCTAGAACCCCCAACAAACAAACAAACAAACGAACAAACAAACGAACAAACAAATAAACAAACAAAAAACACAAACAAACAAACAAACAAACAAATAAACAAACAAACAAACAAACAAACAAACAA